CTACAAGTTTTACAAAAATTGATTTTTCGGCCAAAATTGAAAAAAATGCAAGGGGTTAGCCTTACATTTTTATCAAAATTTGGCCAAAAATGGACTTTTCTCCAAACAACTCAGAAAATCCTTCAGAGGCAAGAGGAACATCAATCACTATTCAAACATCTCAAATTTCAAAGATTTCGACAAAATTCATTGATATTTTTGAGGAAAAAAAATCACATTTTCAAGCGGTTTTGCCCAAATTTTTAGGCGAAATTTTCTTTTTAGCAGCAAGTATGTCAGCAAATCGCATCGGAATGTCTTCTAAGATCCTTAAGGCATCTTCCCTACAAGTTTTACGGAAATTCATTAAGAAGCACGTCCGTCATCAAATCGAATTGGAATGTCTTCTAGGGTCTATTAGGCATCTTCCCTACAAGTTTTACGGAAATTAATTTTTTGGCCAAAATTGAAAAAAATGCAAGGGGTTAGCCTTACATTTTTATCAAAATTTGGCCAAAAATGGACTTTTCTCCAAACAACTCAGAAAATCCTGCAGAGGCAAGAGGAACATCAATCACTATTCAAACACCACAAATTTCAAAGATTTAGACAGAATTCATTGATATGTTTGAGGAAAAAAGTCACATTTTCAACTGATTTAGCCCCAATTTTTAGGCGAAATTTTCTTTTTAGCAGCAAGTATGTCATCAAATCGCATCGGAATGTCTTCTAGGATCCTTTAGGCATCTTCCCTACAAGTTTTACGGAAATTCATTTTTTGGCCAAAATTGAAAAAAATGCAAGGGGTTAGCCTTAGATTTTTATCAAAATTTGGCCAAAAATTGACTTTTCTCCAAACAACTCAGAAAATCCTTCAGAGGCAAGAGCAACATCAATCACTATTCAAACACCCCAAATTTCAAAGATTTAGACAAAATTCATTGATATTTTTGAGGAAAAAAAAGTCACATTTTCAAGCGGTTTTGCCCAAATTTTAGGCGCAATTTTCTTTTTAGAGGCACATCCGTCATCAAATCGCATTGGAATGTCTTCTAGGGTCCATTAGGCATCTTCCCTACAAGTTTTACGGAAATTCATTTTTCGGCCAAAATTGAAAAAAATGCAAGGGGTTAGCCTTACATTTTTATCAAAATTTGGCCAAAATTGACCTTTCTCCAAACAACTCAGAAAATCCTGCAGAGGCAAGAGGAACATCAATCACTATTCAAACACCCCAAATTTAAAAGATTTCGACAAAATTCATTGATATTTTTGAGGAAAAAAAATCACATTTTCAAGCGGTTTTGCCCAAATTTTTAGGCGAAATTTTCTTTTTAGCAGCAAGTATGTCAGCAAATCGCATCGGAATGTCTTCTAAGATCCTTAAGGCATCTTCCCTACAAGTTTTACGGAAATTCATTAAGAAGCACGTCCGTCATCAAATCGAATTGGAATGTCTTCTAGGGTCTATTAGGCATCTTCCCTACAAGTTTTACGGAAATTAATTTTTTGGCCAAAATTGAAAAAAATGCAAGGGGTTAGCCTTACATTTTTATCAAAATTTGGCCAAAAATGGACTTTTCTCCAAACAACTCAGAAAATCCTGCAGAGGCAAGAGGAACATCAATCACTATTCAAACACCACAAATTTCAAAGATTTAGACAGAATTCATTGATATGTTTGAGGAAAAAAGTCACATTTTCAACTGATTTAGCCCCAATTTTTAGGCGAAATTTTCTTTTTAGCAGCAAGTATGTCATCAAATCGCATCGGAATGTCTTCTAGGATCCTTTAGGCATCTTCCCTACAAGTTTTACGGAAATTCATTTTTTGGCCAAAATTGAAAAAAATGCAAGGGGTTAGCCTTAGATTTTTATCAAAATTTGGCCAAAAATTGACTTTTCTCCAAACAACTCAGAAAATCCTTCAGAGGCAAGAGCAACATCAATCACTATTCAAACACCCCAAATTTCAAAGATTTAGACAAAATTCATTGATATTTTTGAGGAAAAAAAAGTCACATTTTCAAGCGGTTTTGCCCAAATTTTAGGCGCAATTTTCTTTTTAGAGGCACATCCGTCATCAAATCGCATTGGAATGTCTTCTAGGGTCCATTAGGCATCTTCCCTACAAGTTTTACGGAAATTCATTTTTCGGCCAAAATTGAAAAAAATGCAAGGGGTTAGCCTTACATTTTTATCAAAATTTGGCCAAAATTGACCTTTCTCCAAACAACTCAGAAAATCCTGCAGAGGCAAGAGGAACATCAATCACTATTCAAACACCCCAAATTTAAAAGATTTAGACAAAATTCATTGATATTTTTGAGGAAAAAAAAGTCACATTTTCAAGCGGTTTTGCCCAAATTTTAGGCGAAATTTTCTTATTAGAAGCACGTCTGTCATCAAATCGAATTGGAATGTCTTCTAGGGTCCATTAGGCATCTTCCCTACAAGTTTTACGGAAATTAATTTTTCGGCCAAAATTGAAAAAAATGCAAGGGGTTAGCCTTACATTTTTATCAAAATTTGGCCAAAAATGGACTTTTCTCCAAACAACTCAGAAAATCCTTCAGAGGCAAGAGGAACATCAATCACTATTCAAACATCTCAAATTTCAAAGATTTCGACAAAATTCATTGATATTTTTGAGGAAAAAAAATCACATTTTCAAGCGGTTTTGCCCCAATTTTTAGGCGAAATTTTCTTTTTAGCAGCAAGTATGTCAGCAAATCGCATCGGAATGTCTTCTAGGATCCTTTAGGCATCTTCCCTACAAGTTTTACGGAAATTCATTAAGAAGCACGTCCGTCATCAAATCGAATTGGAATGTCTTCTAGGGTCTATTAGGCATCTTCCCTACAAGTTTTACGGAAATTCATTTTTTGGCCAAAATTGAAAAAAATGCAAGGGGTTAGCCTTACATTTTTATCAAAATTTGGCCAAAAATGGACTTTTCTCCAAACAACTCAGAAAATCCTGCAGAGGCAAGAGGAACATCAATCACTATTCAAACACCCCAAATTTCAAAGATTTAGACAAAATTCATTGATATGTTTGAGGAAAAAAGTCACATTTTCAACTGATTTAGCCCCAATTTTTAGGCGAAATTTTCTTTTTAGCAGCAAGTATGTCATCAAATCGCATCGGAATGTCTTCTAGGATCCTTTATGCATCTTCCCTACAAGTTTTACGGAAATTCATTTTTTGGCCAAAATTGAAAAAAATGCAAGGGGTTAGCCTTACATTTTTATCAAAATTTGGCCAAAAATTGACTTTTCTCCAAACAACTCAGAAAATCCTTCAGAGGCAAGAGCAACATCAATCACTATTCAAACACCCCAAATTTCAAAGATTTAGACAAATTTCATTGATATTTTTGAGGAAAAAAAAGTCACATTTTCAAGCGGTTTTGCCCAAATTTTAGGCGCAATTTTCTTTTTAGAAGCACGTCCGTCATCAAATCGAATTGGAATGTCTTCTAGGGTCCATTAGGCATCTTCCCTACAAGTTTTACGGAAATTCATTTTTCGGCCAAAATTGAAAAAAATGCAAGGGGTTAGCCTTACATTTTTATCAAAATTTGGCCAAAAATGGACTTTTCTCCAAACAACTCAGAAAATCCTTCAGAGGCAAGAGGAACATCAATCACTATTCAAACACCTCAAATTTCAAAAATTTCGACAAAATTCATTGATATTTTTGAGGAAAAAAAAGTCACATTTTCAAGCGGTTTTGCCCCAATTTTAGGCAAAATTTTCTTTTTAGAAGCACGTCCGTCATCAAATCGAATTGGAATGTCTTCTAGGGTCCATTAGGCATCTTCCCTACAAGTTTTACGGAAATACATTTTTTGGCCAAAATTGAAAAAAATGCAAGGGGTTAGCCTTACATTTTTATCAAAATTTGGCCAAAAATGGACTTTTCTCCAAACAACTCAGAAAATGCTTCAGAGGCAAGAGGAACATCAATCACTATTCAAACACCCCAAATTTCAAAGATTTAGACAAATTTCATTGATATTTTTGAGGAAAATAAATCACATTTTTTAAGCGGTTTTGCCCAAATTTTAGGCGATTTTTTTGTTTAAGAAGCACGTCCGTCATCAAATCGAATTGGAATGTCTTCTAGGGTCCATTAGACATCTTCCCTACAAGGTTTACGGAAATACATTTTTTGGCCAAAATTGAAAAAAATGCAAGGGGTTAGCCTTACATTTTTATCAAAATTTGGCCAAAAATTGACTTTTCTTCAAACAACTCAGAAAATCCTTCAGAGGCAAGAGGAACATCAATCACTATTCAAACACCACAAATTTCAAAGATTTAGACAAAATTCATTGATATTTTTGAGGAAAAAAGTCACATTTTCAACTGATTTAGCCCCAATTTTTAGGCGAAATTTTCTTTTTAGAAGCAAGTATGTCATCAAATCGCATTGGAATGTCTTCTAGGATCCTTTAGGCATCTTCCCTACAAGTTTTACGGAAATTAATTTTTGGGCCAAAATTGAAAAAAATACAAGGGGTTAGCCTTACATTTTTATCAAAATTTGGCCAAAAATTGACTTTTCTCCAAACAACTCACATATTGTCAAAATCTCATAATTTTAATGCATAATCTACAAGATCATATTACTGTGCACACTAAATGTTGGTATATTAAGCTTCAGCCATACACTAATTAGTGCCTAATCAGTCCGTTGAAATGACCCCATTTTCCCTGCCTTGTCATCCACTATCATATTGTTATCCTGTTAAGGAAAACTGGGAGAAAAACTCGAAGGGTGAAAATTGTTTTTTTTTGTGGGCTTTATTACCACCATTTACAAAAAATTGCAAAATTTAACGGGCAAAATCCCTGGTCGTTTTCACATCACTCAAGGCGAGTATTGCAAAATTTGTTGAGAGTTTTAGACCTTATTTCTAAAATTTTAAGGATATGAACATTTTAATTTCAACAGTAAATAATTTTGGAATGTTTCATTTATCAAAAAGGGAAAGACTTTCAGCAAATTCCTCATTCAAATAAAAAAAGCGATTTGCTTCCAATTTATCAGTCTTACAGATTACAAAATCAAGTTATCAAAATTTTACCAAATTACAGCAAGAGATTTTTTTCACATGTGAAAATAAATTACGAAATTTCGATTCATGATCATCTCTGAGTTAAAAATAGATTGTGCTACCAGCAGCATCTCTACAAAAAAATTTGTACAAATCTAAAAACTTGTGCTTTCTGAAAGACTAGAATTTTCTTTTATACATAAAAAGTTACAAGCATTAGTTGAAAATTAGACTAGAAAACTGTTTTATTTTCTTTTGATGAAAGAACAAAGTTTAATTTGAAAGTTGAACAAAGAAATTGACTGTACCGGGGTTTGAACCTGCGACAGCGGGGTTTGAACCTGCGACCGCCGGATTGCTCAACATGAACTCTACCAACTGAGCTATCCAGCCCTTATTAGAAGTTCCTCAGAATTTTGTCAATATCTTTGCTCAAAACCATAAGCTATGAAGTTGTTAATTTTCACTTAAGTTCAAGTACAAACTTCAACTTAAATCTGAAAGGCAAAATTACAAGTAAAAGTGGCAAGACTGGAATGTATTTAGAAAGTGCAGCTAAAAATACAAATTAAAATGTTTATGATTTCTCTCTTCATATCGTTAAATCGGTGATCGTGTAGTATAGGGCCCCTGTTTTGTTTCGATCAAATTAGAATCAAGAATTTTTTTATTACTAACAAGTGACATTGTCAACCTAAAGCAGACTTCTCTCAATGTTATGACACCTTTTTGGTAATTTTTGAACAGTTTCTTGGGGTATTATTATAAGTTTCCTATGCAGTTTAAGGGCCGGTTGGTGAGGTGCAGCACGACTTGCGCGTTCACGGTACATCGCGCGGTGATCGCCATCTTCATTTCATGTAATGTTTTGTCATTGTTATTGTCAATTTACCCCCAAATTTCCCTAAAAAAAATTCAAAACCCTGCCCTTCATCTATACCTGTATGTTCTTAATGTCGCCAACTAGTACATCAAATAATTTAAAAGTGGATTTTGTTCCCTTATAGGAACCGGGCCCGTAGATACACAATCGCCGTTAAATCACATTAAGACAGCACTAGGAATCAAATGGAATGTTTTGGTAAGAAAGCCCATCAAAAAGATATCAATTAGTCATGCAATAGAAAAGCCCAAAGCAACTCCGTGCAGCAAATCTACCTTTGTGCTTGTCTGTCTACCTTGTTCAGACGAAAACTATAAAGGAGACATTTTCTGACATGATCTACTATCCCTTCACAACAATTTCACTAAACCAAACAAATAAATTGATAAAAAAAATCACACCATTTCAGTAAAAAAAATCAAACCTGTCACTCATTTTTTTATGGATCACAACTCCACATCCACTATAACCTTGCAATTTGTTCGCATATTTGGTTTTCTTAATTATTGTTCATCAGCACCACATTGCGATTTGTTCATTACATACTCATCAGAGACACATGAGAATCAAAATGGTGCATTGAGCACTTTGATCTTCTGTAACAAAGATACCAAAAATTTACAAATTTTTTCAAAACAACCTCCCATCTTCTACCCTCTTCTGGTTCATAATCGACCGCAAGAGATAAAAGTGGACTGATTACTCAGTAAACTCTCTTTCTTTCATTTGTAGATTTAATTTCAGCCGGAGAACCATTCTTCTTCTGGCTTTGGCTTGCCAAGTGCTGTCAGTTATATTAAGCTATAAATTTAACATTTGAGCCAAAACAGCTTGTTCCGATTAAGAGGCTGTACTCATTTCTTCAAACAGACTGTACCTGATAAGTGATGTCAATTTTGATGTCAAATATCACGCTATTCTGCAGAACGTTATTTTTTTTGCATCTTGTTCAAGTGACAGCACATGATCAGGGCTTTCCTTGACCCTCCACCTCTGGCTTGGGCTTCGGTTTGGGTCGGGCTCGGAACCCTTTCTTCTTAGCCACGAACACCCTCCTCTCGTAGTTCTCCTTGGGCCAGTGGACGTAGTAGGAGAAGACCCAGGGGCGCGTCATGCCCTGGGTCTGCCTCATGGAGTTCAGGTGGTCTCGCTGGGCCTGGTTGTGCTCGCGGCGTCGGAGGGCCCAGGACCGGCGTCGGGCCAGCTCTCGCCTGACTCGCTCTCGCGCATCCTCTTCTAGCTTCTGAATCTATGTTTCAAACATGCACAGATGGTTGTTTTTGGAAGTTACATTAGGACCTGCTGCCTAATACAGCATTGCTGTCTCATCATAAGCTTTTGCTGTAAAGGGTAGACAGTCCTTCAGTCCTAACTGGACTGATTTGTAGAATAAGTAAATAACAAAAACAGGAATGTCTGTCTAGAGTCAATACGTTTTAATATCAGGACAGGGTTTATCTTCAGTTTTCTTGACACACAACAAATGAGAATACGTTTCTCCTAGCTTGCTTTGTATGTTGGCATTCCACTGCTATCTGTGTACACTTTTAGGTGCAGAGAGGCAAACAAAGGTGAAGTGGCTTGCCCAAGGACACAACATATGGCAAGCAGCTGGATTCCAACTTCTGCTCATGAGTCACAAACCCTAACCACTTGGTCACTCACTCTCCTAAGCAGCGTTGTAGTCAAAACACTTGTGATGGATCACAAGGTATCACAAGGCATCACAAGCCTGTCGCAAGCAACTCAGTCCCGCATCAACTCACAAGTTATTCTAATGAACTGCACTTGACAAGGGAATTTCTGTTTTTATTGTGTACCCCTGTTACTTGTGATCGGACTTGTGATTGACTTGTGATTAGACTTGTGATGTACTTAATATCCATCACAAGTACCTGGACTACAATCACGCTCAGGAGGTTGACACCAAGTGGTCCGGGTTTCTGAGTCTTGATCAGAGGGTCATGGGTTAGAATCCAGCCGTTGAGTACTTGAATCTTCAACAGTGACTTACCCTTCTGATTCGATCTAGCCCCTCCTGTCTCTTTCTCTCAGCTTCTGCCTCCTGTTGCCTCAGTCGTTCCTCCTCCTCTGCTTTCCTCTTCTCCGCTTCCAGCTTCAATCTCTCCTCCTCCTGTCGCTGTTTCTCGGCCTCCTCTCTCGCAAGCCTCATTCTGCGCTCAGCGTCCTCTCGTTCCTTGACCAGCCGGGCTATGGCTTCTTCCTCAGCCTAGAGCGAGGGATTGTACGAACAAACAAACCACGTCAATCTATGTACCAATAGTCCCCGATCATATGACGCCATCTTTGTAGGAAAATTACAACTGCGTACTCAACGCCGTCAGGTATGTGTGTGCGCAGTGTGCAAATTGTTCTGAACACGTGCAAGTTGCTCGAACTTTCTTCGACATACGGCGTGGCACAGTCGCTGCGCGTCACCAAAATGCCGATGCACGTGACAATCTGCAGGCAGTGAAATCATTTGAGAAAAACCTATTACACAAATAGACCTCAATAACTGGCTGAATTCCACTCACTGGGTTAAAAACAAGAAACAGACTGGAGTACGGTTTGAACTTTCTCTTTTGCCATTGAATTGACCTTTCTCTTGTTTCAGCATTGCCAGCCATTCAAACTGTAAGAGTGCTGCAGTTGGGCTCTATTTTGAAACTGAAAATTAAAATGAATCATTAGCTGGTATAGAATGATGGCTGTCAAACTTGACTGAGTGGTTTGTGCAGATATTTGTCTGCACAGAAAACATTTGCTGCGCAAAACCGGTTACCAGTCAAAATGTCATGCAATGTGCACCACTTGTGATAGGTTCCCTGCTCATTTTTGCTGATTATATAAATCTGCTAAGCAGCAGTTGGACTGACCTCTCTCTCCATCTCTCTGATCCTTTCTTCTTCTTCCTCCAGTCTGCGTTTCTCTTCCTCTTCTTCCTGCTCCCTCTCCTCCTGCTCCAGACGTTCCCGTTCCTGTCTCTCCCACTCCGCCTCTTCTCGTAGCCTGCGCTTCTCTGCAGCGCCGGCCAGGCGTTCAGCCATCTCCTGCTCCCGCAATCTGGCTGCTTCCTCCTGTGACAACAAAATGACAAAGGCCAAGAAATATAAAAGTATGGGCCAAGTCACACAAGGCAATTTTCACAGGCAACTTGGAAGCAACCAATTGTACACCAATCAAAGGAATTCGGGAAGAAGAAATCAGGGTTCGACTTTAGCGGTAGCCTGCTTGCCAAATGCTAGTCAAAACAGCGGCGGGCTAGTCAAACTATTCCTTAAGCAGCCCGGCTGGCAAGTCAACAATTATTGGGCTACAGCAAAGATGAAAGGACAAGAAGAAATTAATCATAACATTTAGAAAAAAAAACTGTATCAATATTTAGATCTGTTTATTAAAAACACTGACAAGATCGCCTCAGGATACATATTTGACATGCATGCACATTGTTGTTTATGAGACACTCTATAAAAGAAAAACATGCGAGCTAATGAAAATGCCCGCGGGCTAGTTAAGAGTCTGTTTCAGTAGCCCGGCTGGCTAGTGAACAAAAAAGTTAAGGTCGAACCCAGAAGAAATTACAGTTTTTCCAATGGTACTGGACCAGTCCTGGACAAGTCGTTGCAAGTGGTAAAAAAAAGCACAGGTGATCGATCATACGCGAGGTCCAAAGGAATATTTATGCTGTAGAATGCAGAATAATGAGTAAGAGCATCTGCCAGTGTTGTAGGACTCGAGTACAGGACTCGGACTTGAGTCCATCTCGTGTTGCAATTTGGGTGACTCAGAATCGACTTTAGTCACATCGGCAAACGACTCGGACCTGGACTCGGACTCTACCATCATGACTCAGACTTGAACCACATAACTCGAGACTTGGACTCAGACTTGAACCAAATGACTCGAGACTCCGACTCGGATTCGAACCAAGTCACTTGAGACTCTAATTCATCTGAAGTGACTCGACTACAGCACTGACATTTGGAACAACTTTCAGAAAGGATGATGCCCGTACCATTTTCCTGCGTCCCTGTCGTTGTTGCTCTTTCTCTATCCGTCTCTTCTCCAGGTCTGCTTTCCTCCGTGTCTCTCTTTCTTCCCGTTGCAGTCGTCGGGTTTCTTGTAGCATCTGTCTCGCCTCCTCCTCTTCTTGGGCTGCTCGCTCCGCCTCCCAAGCGGCGTCCTCCAATTCCTCCTTTGCCATCTATATCAAGTCAAACATTGAACGAAAACTTGTGAACAGTCTGATTTAGAGCGTTGCCCCTTGACAACACTTGAACTCTGCTAGTCTAAAAACACCCCAGTGGATCAAATTTGCAATGGTCTGAAGCAAATGATTGTACCTGTATTCGTCTCTGCTCGGCAATCTCCTGTTGTCTCTTTTCTTTCTCCCGTTGCTTCTTCTTTTCTGCCAAAGCCTTCAACTCCTCTTCCCGTCGCTGTGAACAAGGACAAGATCGAAAAATGTTACAATTCAACAACTTTGGGAGCAAAAGCTGTAACTAACAATTCTTTTCTTTTCATTTTAACCCTTTTTTTTTAACAGAGGGTTTTACTACCTTTCTGAGTACTTATAAGCAATATAAACAGCTCTGAAATATACTGCATAGCCCACACTGCACGCAAAAAAGACCATTGCTGTGCTAGGGCGCCATTTAGGCAAAAAACTCTCAGCTAAGTGTGCACTCTTCACATGTTTTAATTTTGGAGATAGCTGTGTTGTCCACACAAATTCGGACTTCTGATGCCAAAACTAGTCTGTCAAAGTTCATGCATAGCCCAAATTGATTTTTGTATCAGGATACACATTTTCGTGTAGTGATACTGTACGTACAGCATTAATGCATTGCAATTATTGCATATCACAGTCTGTCGTTACAATTGTATTTTTATTATCGTTATTTCAAATGTTTCCCAGCCACAAATAATTACCAGTTTTTCTTGTCGGCGCGCTTCCCTCAGCTCAGCTTTCTCCTTGGCTAAGCTCTTCTTGGATTTCTTCTGCTTGCCAGGCTCCACTCGTTTCTTGAGCTCCCTCTCAAGAGCCTCATCATCTGTTGCTAGGGAAACTGCATCGTCTGCTCTCTCCTCTGGAACAACTGGGGGAGAATCAGGAAATGTTTCTAAGTATCAGAAAATATATCTGACCCCACTATGTGAAAAAGTCAGATTTCAATTAAAGGGAATATACATCATTTGCTTTTGCTGTAATTTTCAGAAATGGATGGAATTGGGGGGTTGGAAATATATAGCAAATATAGTTACACTGACTTTTTTGAGGTTTTAGGTTCGAAAATGCTACAAAAACCAAGAAAAACAATCATTTTCCTGTAGTTTGGTTCCCTGACTCCATATAAGAAGAAACAGAGCAGTTTAAATACATTGGGGAATTGTAAGGTCAGGGAACCAGTCTAGCTGGCTTGTACCCATTCCGATAGGTGTGTAATCGATTGCAAACAAGTGCGATGGTCAACTGGGGCCAGTATTTGAAAAAAAGCCAGTTTTTTCCAACGCTGGTCGGCTGAACAGCGTTGGAAATTGATACAAAAATACCACTTTTCTTGAAAATGACAGTATACCAGGTGCCATGATTTTACAGGATGCTTTACGCTGTCATTCACTAACAGTCCAGCAAGGTATTTCAAAATGATTTGGTAGTTTTATTTTTTGAAGTTTGCAAATGTTGTATTTTCCCTTTAAATTATAAATTTATTGAAAAAAAAAAGGGCCATGTAACTTAACATCAAAAATCAATTTTTTTATCCTAAGCTAGGTTTTTCTGGCTTCAGAAACGCAAATCAATGCAAAAATGACTTTTGCTAGTTTGCAGACAACCTACCGCCAATGTTTTGCCCTGATAACTTTTAAATGTGGAATTTTTCATCATCCTATGTTAAGTGTTCAGTAAAGCAGAGATTGAGATTCTACACATGAAGAAAGATGTGCTATTTATTAAAGTGCCTATGACGTTGGCAGGAAATGACGTGCAACTTTTATATTAAAGAGAGTTATATTTTCATGAATGAAAAATGGGGGAAATCAAGATGTGACACTTACCAAGAAATGGCATGCTTTCCTCTCCTTCATTCAGCTGGCTGGATTCCAGCTCTTTGGATAACTGAAAATAACCAACATTATAAGCAATGGTTACTTGTTTTACTTTAAAGAAAATAACTTTCTTCACAGCAATGGCAGTAACGCATGTTGCAAGTTCCGGTTAATCAAAGTACGACTTCAATACGCATTGGCTTTATCTAGCTCATGGATTCTAGTCAAGTCATCACAAGTCATCACCAGTCAATCACAAGGCATTTATAATAAGCATTCAGTTTTTAATGCGAAAAGTGACTTAGTTATTCAAACAAGCAGTTCAGACGTGGCCGTCCTTAGTAACATCCCCTGTGTATTTTGTGACTTTGCTTGTGATTTGACTTGTGACTGACTTGTGACTGACTTGTGATTGACTTGTAATTGACTTGAGATGGACTTGTGATTAGTGATTTGATTTGTGATTGAATAGGTTTTTTCTTAACGCCCAACTAACCTCTTCTTCTACCATTCTCTCCACTTCGTCTTCACTAGGCCCTTGATAGCTGTCAATGTTCAAGCTGCTAATGAACTGGACTCCTGTAGCCTTGGGTCTAACACCTTTACCTTTGCTTCTCCGTCCGGTCCGTGGCGACTGGAGAGTGTCAAAGGAATTGTTGGTTGAGATTTCGTTGATTTGATAGTAAAGAAAACTTTGTCCGTGATCACTTAAAAACAGGATTGCATTTGATTCTCACCTGGCTCTTGGCAGCTGGAGGCTTGACCATTGATTTCAGCTTGCCCAGGTCCAACTTGGAGATCTTTTTCTCAGGAGCTGGGGGCTTCTTAGCATCAGATGGGGTCCTAATCTCTGGAGAGGGTGACCTCCTCACTGCCAAAGGAACAAGAAAAAAAAATCATCAAGAAACCTTTACACAATACATTTTGTATTGCAAAACAAATACTTTTTCACTAAAAAACAGCAATGTGAAATTTGCCCCGGAACAAACCAGATGAAATAACTCCAAAGAAACCTGTTATTTTATATGATGAAAATTTTGATTTTCTCCAAAGGGCGACGTTAATTTACTACACATCATACAAGATATTGATTGAGGTATCTGCTGCTATGGGTGACTTTAAGCATCCAGATTCCAGCCAACACTGGCAAGTTTGGTGGTTGAGTGGTTAAGATGTCTGCACTAGCAAGCTGGAGGTTGTGGGTTCGAGTCCCAACTGAGCCAGCTTGTGATTTTCTTCAGAAGCTCTGAGACAGTGCTGAGAATAGATGGTTTGCATCGCAGCCATCTTTAAGGTGCGTGATAAAAATATTAACAGGAATACGTACAAGTTAACGACAGAACAAAACAAAACACACCCCAAATATGGCGGCTGAATGCAATCAATATATAGGGTGGATAAAAAAAAATGAAACCGAGATATTATTGCTAATTGGAACAGAAGTAGGGCACATGTGAATCAAAGGGAGATATCCTCTGTTAGGGTTGAATCTCCTCTTTAAAATGACACCCTGATCATGTCCTTACATTCACGGTTGACTGAGCAGTGACTAATTTTAAGAAAGGGTCTACATAGAGAATTGCGCTTCTTTTCATGGTGAAATATCTTTTTCCCCACCTGCCTTGATTGGCAACCATAGCCTTTCACTCTGTGACAAATGACACCACAAAAACCACAATTGAAAAGTGGTGCAATTCTCTAAATAGACCCTTTCATAAAATTGGTCACTGCTCAGTCAACCGTGAATGTAACGACATGATCAGGGTGTCATTTTAAAGAGGAGATTCAACCCTAACAGAGGATATCTCCCTTTGATTCACATGTGCCCTACTTCTGTTCCAATTAGCAATAATATCTTTCGTTTTTTTATCCACCCTGTATACATTGCATAAGTGTCAAAGAGTAAAACTCAAAGATAAAAATATTACCAGCAGCCCCTCCAGTTTTTGTTGCATCGACTGTTGGACCCAGTTTTGGAGGTACAAGGGTTGTGTACGGTACGCCCATTTCTTTCTCTGCAACCCGGTTGACCACGTCGGCCATGCCTGCTTTCCTTGCCGGCAACCTAGGTACAGTGCTGGGTACCTCGACACGAGGGGCTGGCGATGCGTTACCCTGTTGTTGTGGCACAGCGCCCTCTGTAGGGGACATCTCATCCAACTGCGATTCAGATGTTGCTGCTTTCTCAGACGGTATAGGGGATGGGGCTAAAATGACAGAATGACAAGCAGGACAAGGTATTTATAAACAAGAATCTGCATCTAAGGCAAGTCAAGTGTTTTACATTGTTTAATCATTAGACTCCATCTCTCATTACTGATACACGTATGCACAATAATAATAATAATAATAATAATTTGGGAGGCTAATCATCCTTACTCGCAGCTGGTATGCTGCATTGCGAAGGACGCGGCTACAATGTGGTCGGGCCGCTGGCACGTAAAGGCGCCTATGGCTGCCGGCCACATCGACCCATATATGACCATGGAGCACAGCCTGAGATTGAAAGTGTTTGATTTTTTACAGAGGGAGGAAAACCAGAGGGCCCGAAAAAAAACCCTCGTGGCACAGGAGAGAACCAATGCACAACTCTACTCACATGTGATCCACGGCCAGGATTCGAACCGTGGTCACCTTGGTGAGAGGCGAGCGCTTTACGCACAAGCCACCCATGCCACCCAAATTAATATACATCTTAATGATCGTAACAAACCCATGCAAACTAAGTCTTTCACTTTTTTTTCCACCTAAATTTTTATCAATAAAGGAAGAGGACTAGAACTTTTACCAGCCAGAAGCATGAAACATTGTGTAACATTCTGGCTGGTGATAAGGCTACATCTGAATTCATACCGCTAATGGCTACGGCTGGCTATTTCACATGTGACTATGGAAGCCACTTCGGAAGTCACTTCCATAGATATGTGTGTAACAACCAGCTGTAGCCACAAAACCACAATAAACTCACCTTTTGTGACTGAGGCTATGTCTTCATTCTCCATGGTTGATGGTGGCAAGATGTCAATATCATCTGTTGATTGTATCCCAGTCTCTGTCAGACCTCTTCCCTGGCTGGTGTGAGACCCATCTGATGGAGTAGGGCTCAAGCGTTGGGGTTGGGGACTGAGCAATTTGGCTTGGGAGCTGGGCCGGTCTGAACTCGGGCTTTTCAGTCTGGCCGACGGGGCTGGGCTGAGTCTGTCTTGACCGCTGTCTACTGGCCACTGACCGCTGTTCGCACTCTCTTGCAACATGTCTAGAGCATCATCCTGTTCGATGGGTGTGTCAAGCAGCAATGCATCATGGTCCACCAGCAATGCATCATGGTCCACCAGCAACGCGTCTTGGTCGAGTTGCTGGTCTAGTGGCAATGTGCTGGGGTCTACTTGACTGTCTTGGATCGTTGTGGGCAGGCTGGTTGTTCCTGATATGTAAGTATGGTGGGAGGCAGTGCTTGGTCGGCTGCCCTGTAAAATTAAAAAAAAGAAGACATTTGGCAATTAATATACCAACCATTCAAAGAAATTTGATTCTCCTTAACCCTAAAGGGGCCGGGGGGGGGGGGGCGGAATCCGCCCCCCCCCTCAACATTTTCCGCGATAGCTTCTAAAAAAATTTTTTTCGCGACCCGAGCTGTTATGACTTTTTAGCCTCGAGCTTTGTGCATCTTTTGATACCAAAAACATAAAAATCGGACCACGGGTTGGCCCGTAGCGAAAAATTTTCCGGCGCTATGCGCCGTGAAAACTGAATTTTCGCATATACGTCGTGTACACCGAGCAGAATTGCCATTCATACATATGAATAATTAATTAGCCATAATTCCAAAACCCTTTGACCTATAGTCATGAAATTTCTTGGGCATGTTTAGGAAGAGTTGCTCTATGCATGTGCTGAGTTTCAAATTTTTTCGTCACTCGATGGCCGAGATCTTAGGGGGGGGGGGCGGAATCCGACCCCCCCCCCCCCCCCCGGCTGAGAGATGGTCAAAATAACCCGGCCCCTTTAGGGTTAAGTGTGAAAGAATTTTTTGGCTTAGAATTCCTGGATCCTCACAAATCCACCAACATGCTACTTTGTAGGCTCAACCCTCCTCGGTTCTGTAAAATTATTTAAGTTGTCTACTAGTGCTAAATAAGATGTGCATGAGTTGGTAACTTACGTAATACTGCGATGGATTGTAGGCTGGCTGTTCCTGGGTCCATTCCCCATCAGCGTTGACGGACATGGCATCGTGCTGACTAGTCCCATCAGTAACATCTGTCATTGACAAAGAAATAGCCATGTTGAGATTTCTATAATTCTAAGCAAAGTGGTTAGAATTTCCAATCTTTTCTCCTCTTTTAATAAGATTCATGGAAATAATAGGTGAATAAGATTCCCTGTGGAGCTGTTCACTTTTTAGAGTCCCCTGCCTGAATTTCTCACCAAACAAAATGGTTCACCGACCCTTATTGAGAGTCATTTACACCGACAGTCACCCATCATTCTGTCGTATCCCTGAAATCAAGATCTTTCTAACAGAGACTCACCGTTATAATCAGCCAAATCTGCTTCCGACAAAGAATCCTGTTGCCCATGCTGGAGCTGCCCAGGAGAAAGACCGCCGGATCTGATGCTGTTGCCATGGTCACTCGCATCGTCGTTAATCATAACCAAACTTCCGTCCCGTGACACCACAACGCTACGAGCATGCTCACTACCAGGCTGTTCCATTCCATAATCGTGGACCGACAAGTTACCCATGCTTCCCTGCGACGCGACCTCCAGGTTTGACCTCTGCGACCTGTGTGACCTTACAGAATGTGCAGACGAGGCGTTGCGCGACTGAGCCGAGCGTGCGCTACCCTGCCGGACAGAGCTGGACTTTCTAGACCCTGCACTGCCGTGTCTGGGGCATGATTCCTGGGATGAGGGGTAGCCCATTTGACTGGGCGGATAGGGGGCTTTGATGGGGTGGCCCAGGTAGGGGGAGCTCTTCAGTGACGCAGCAAGGCGTTCAACAGATAGCGTAGCGCTTCGGCTAGATGCTGAGGTAGATGGTCTGCAAAAAGATAACCAGATGAATGCTTTACGTGTGATTCCAATCTGACATTGACAGGTTTTGCTCATAATCAGATAACATTAATCACTGCTGGAAATAGGTGAAGGCAAAAATAGCTGCCACGTGAGTTGTAAACACACAGGGTTTTTCAATATTTTCTTTGTAAATTTAAGACCTTAATTATGTAGCTTTTTTGTTATCTAGACCTTCCACGAATGGTAAATATACAATCCAAACACTAAATTTGGGGCAACTCCAGATAATTATGTGTTTACCATGATAGAAACAAGTGCCTGATGTCCTTTACTAGCCTAGCTTAAATAAAAACTATACATAATTGTCAGCTTGAGCCTAAAGAACTTGGCGTTTGGGTGTTGCACAATATCTACATGGCACTAAATGAACTAAACTGCTTCTGATCAGCACAAGGAGTGAGCTCAGCCATTGATAGAGCACTGGACTTGCTGAACAGATGTCTGTGGTTCATATCCCACTCCACTGGATATTTTCTCAGCTACCTCCAACTGGATTACAAGCCTTACCTTGATAGTGCATTTCTAGACTGTTGCCTGACGCTGCCAGCGCTGGACACGTTCCATCGCTGTGATTGGTTGGCCAGCCGGCTGACGTCTGGTGATATCAGGTTCCCTCGGCCCTCTGGTGTCCCTCTGATATCAATACTCTGTAACGCGGCCGTCAACTCTGCCGTGGAATCGACCGAGGCTAGCGACTGTTGGGATGGGGTTCGCACCAGGTTGCGCACCCTGAAAGTGAAAAATTGTAGACAAGTTTGACACTTTCTTTTAACTATGATTTTTATATCAAGCACTGCAGCCGAGTCAATCATAAGTCCATCACAAGTCCATCATAAACCCATAACAAGTAACCCATTCTCAAGTCAAGTCGCAAGCTACTCAAATGAACCATGTTCATCCCCCGTCACTTGTAATTTGACCTGTGAAAGGACTTGCGATTGACTTTTGACCAGAAAAATTGTGATAGACTTGTGACTGACTCGATTAGAACACTGCCACAAAGTCTATTTAAACCAACAATCTGGCATGGAAATTTGAAGAATGAATGACTTGTAATACCGCTATAGTCATGTAATAATGAAAACCGAGACAAATGGCCTTATTCACGAGTCGGCCATATTGGATTGAGAGTGAGGTTAAATCTTGATTTTTGGAACTTGTGTAGAGAAATGAAAGCAAGCTAATTACTAATTAATTCCAGTCTGCTTCACTGAATAATTTTAAATTTGTAATTAAACGTTCCCTAATGTTTAAGCCCAGATTTTAAAAAAAATGACAGTAAAATAAGGCTGCATTATGCCTGCATAAAAAGTCCGGTGCCATCCCATTCAACAGTTAACAATTAATGAAATACATTCAGGGAACTCGACAAAAATGGCCAACTAATGAATAAGGCCCATAGCTCAATCAGTACAATCACCCAGCTTCTGACATATGACACCTTCATCTGGGTTGTTAGGGTATATAAAGAGAGAAGCTTCGAAATAATTCTACAGCAAAGGTTATGCACTGTTATGTGTACGGAAAGTGGGGATGAAGTCTAGTCTGTCACAAGTCCAGTCACAAGTAAATCACAAGTCCAGTCACAAGTAACAGTGGATGAATAACAAAGGAATGCTATTGTCAAAGCTCATTTGAATAGCTTGTGAGTTGAATTGGGACTGGAGGACTTGCGATGGACTTGCAGGGACTTGTGATGGACTCGACTACAATCCTGACTGAAAATTTGGCAATCCTACTGATTGAGCGCTCAGATTAGTCTAGACCTTTATCATGCTGCCACCATTTCAGTCATGTTCCCTATATCCAATAACAGTGCTGAATGATAATGTTTTCTGTGCAAAAAGGAACCAGACTATTTTTCCTTCGAGCCTCGCTTTGGTTACATTGATTTGAATGGGAAAAAAATCAAGATGGCCGCAACATGATAATGGTCTATTGGATTCTGTTTTCAGTCTAGATAGACTGGTGCCTGAAGCAACTTACACAGATCGTGACTGCATGTCCCTGAGGTAGAAGACAAAGTCCGCCCCAGGCTGGGCCCTATAATCCACAGCTTCCTGATCCCCTTGGTCATTGTGCACAAACTGCATATGAGTCTCCTCTCTGTAACTACCCTCATCACTATCAACGTCATCATCAGGCTGTTGCAAAAAAAAAAAAAAATTAAATGAAAAAATGTTTTTGTTTTCAACATCCCATAATTATCTTTGAAACCTGAAAACAAAATCACCCTTCATGACCAGCAGCACATTTCATATTTTGAAGTTTTAAAATGTCATGACTAAATCTACTAAATTCTTATTACTGTGTGGAACGACAGAATCTCACTTCATCAATTTATTAGGCAAATTCCTATTAATTTCAAAAGGGCAATATGTCAGGATTTTAAAGAAAAAGTACAGTCTGTCACATACTTATAATATTAACGTTTAAATCAGAAATTTTCTTGATTCTGAAGATCTGATCTTTGGGTTTTGTATTGTACATGTACCATGCCAATAATGGACAAATTAAGTTGAAATTATGTACACAAATTGCACTAATTGTATGGTTAAAAATCTTACAACAGTGCACATGAATTAAGATTTTCCTTTAAAACTTCAAGAATTTTAAGGTAACACACCTGTTGGTGGCTGCCATATCGAAGCACAGATGTTGTTAACTTATTCACTGTGCCCAGTGTCAGTGACAACTTGCCGATGTCATTCGCCTCATTCTCATTCTTGAAGTAGCACTTCTGGTCAGGCTCCGAGAAGATCACATTCTCCGGAGCTGTGAACAGCATCAGCGCACCTTTACGAGTCATGAACGTCTTTGGAAGCGCGATCTGCCCATCTGACCTTTGACTTTTGACCTCTGTGGATGAAGTGGCAGATGCTTTGGCATTCAACTCTTTGGTTTTGGAAGACTTTTCAGGAACACTCTTGAATTTTGTTCCATGTTTAGCAAAAGCAGCACTGGAGGCTGTGCTGTTCGGAAGGCCAAGGCTTGTGGCAAGATCCGCCTTGGACTTCTTGGACAGAATACTGACGGCAGATTTGGAGCGAAGGATCTTTTCCTTGGATGCTTCGGGTCTCTGCGACTGACTGCACACCGATTTGGGTCTTGCATACTTGGTCTTGGGCGACTTGTCCTTAATGGCATCGGCAAGCGAGTTGGCACTCGGGACTGACTGGGAAGAGGAGGGTTTGACGACTGCAGGTCCAACAGCCGATTTGACCCTGAGTGGAATGTTGACGGACTTCTCCAAGAACTTGCTGTCCTCCCCGCTGAGACTGGTGATAAGGACAGGCTTGTGATGGCCCGCCTGCTCAAAGGAACAAGGACAAAATAAACGGAGTGAGAGTGTTTAGATTCTTCAGCTCTTCAAAATCCATCAGGAAATCAGGGAGAATTTTGCAGGATTAAAGAAAGTGAAGCTCAGCCACGATTGGGGCCATTACTTCACATGATGCTTTAGCTTCTGTAGGCCCATACATAAACAGGAAGCATGTGAATGTGCTAAAAGTCACTTTTGTATCCGCTAAATTTGTATGAGCTGAGATTTTTTACTGCCTATGGGGATTTCTGCAATTACAATTCTGAAAAAATTTGACATTCCCCAGAAGAAAAAAAAAGAGATGAAAATTGTGTCTAGAGCTTCAATTTCAAAGTTGCTTTCAAAATGTCCTACTCCAATGGAGTTGGGGTAAAAGTTGGAATTTAAGATACCACAAAATCCTGGAAAATTTGGAATCAAAGAAGTTTTGCACTTTGTTTTGATATGGCTTATGTTACTGACCGTATCATTACCAGCCACCTCTAGATCCCCTGTCCAGGAACCATACCCTCTTGCTAGGGTGCTGAGCATGCCTGCAACGGGCACTTATTTTCTGCCTTCGCTTGCTCTGCTATCTGAATGCTGGAAACATGGTAAATGTAAGCATTAAAGTTTATTTTTTAAGTATAGTTAATTCTTTGAGTACGTACCTATAAGTATAAATCTAAAAAAAAAATATATGAAAATGGCTACAGTAAATGAAAGCTGTAATTGAAATACAACATTGCAAAGCAATATGATTTAAATTTTAATTTATTAAATTTAAACTTTATTAATTTAATTCACCTTTTGCCTTATTTGTTTATTAGAACACGTAATGTTAATAATGTACGCATCACTGGATTATAATCACTGGATTACTATTGATGTCAGTTTTACTTGTACAGGACCAACCTTTATTTACACTGCACTTTAACATCATACGCCACTGTCACTGTGCACTGTTTGCACGGCAAAATAATAGTTTGCACACATGACCTGATCACACACAACTTACTTTGCACTTGCAAGTTGCAGCCCTCAGGCTCTATTCATGGTAAAATTTGACCGATTTTGCGCCCAGTAATTCTGTTAATTGTACAAAATATGATGAATGAAATTATACTCACCATCACAGGAACCCATACCATCTATGGTGTTATCACAAAAATGAACTTAATAAACCGTGAACTTCCCCATGTTTTTGTCTATAATTCCCCGCGGTAGTACAGGTGTATTCCGTCTCCCGTTGCTACCATTTGTTGTTGTGTGATTGATTGGCTAGCTACAAAAGACGGACTGTTCTACTTTGATACAGAGGGGTTGTAAAGTAAACATCCAAACACAGGTTGACACCAACTTCACCAAAAGAATCTTCATACCTCGAATTTATTTAATATTCACCTTTCTAACAATAAATTGTAAAATTTAGATATGTATTTTCAATGGTTTTGTTTATCTCGCTGTTTGAAACCGTAAGTGTATGTCGCTTTGTACCCATAGAATAGTGGGATGTCATCAATCAGAGGAGTAAGTCGAGGTACTATATGCGACGAACAAACGAATATTTTTATGACCTTTCACCTTTACAAGAGCCCAGGAAAATGGTCAGTTTTCTGAATTGGATTGTAATTTCTAATCGCTTAAATCAAACTTTTTAAAAAATCATCAATATTTGCTGTTATTGTTAGGTATAAGAAGAAGGTTTTTCTCAATGACTGTTTCGATATTACGGTTGAAAACTTTGTGATATTGCTATTATTCTGAAGGGATGGTGTTGTTTACTACGATGTTTTATGCTCTCCCCTGTAGTGTATACGTGGCACTCTGTGAATGCCGCGGTATGCTGTCCGTATTTATTCTGCACACTGCACTTAGTGCACTGTACAGCTAGCCGTATACAGGTCACTTGCCAAAATTACAAATATTGAAAGGATCATATCTGGAAGAATTTTTCACCATGATTATTTTACTTTGATTGTCACTAATGTCAGTTGTTAAAATTTGGAAAGATTGTAGAATCAATAATTTACAAGACGTCACTTGGGGGGGGGGGGGGCATGGGGGGGGGCATGGGGGGGGGTTGTACAAAGTGCATTTGTAATGAAAGTAGGTAAGTAGGCCTAGGGCCTATTTTCTAACAAACTTGAGTTGGAAATGTTTTTCAGTCCCACTCCCAGATTCATATCTCTTCAACATTTTTGCAATGACTGACCTTTAGGCCCTATCTGTCATTTGTCTGTTCATTGAGAAAATATGATGAAAAAAAAATGGCGTCAGGATGCAACATTCTTTCTGCACATGTACAAATGTAGTCACCAATGCGACTTTTCTGGCGATTGTGTATGAATGGAAATGGTGAGATAGTAGGCATATGGGGAATCGTGGACATTTTCCATGAATTTGTTTCGGGGTGCAGGAATTTTTTTTTTTATGAATATTAAATGATATGATGATCAAACCTTGATAAACTAAATAACATTGTGTTTTTCTTCGTGTACATTAAACTGATGTTATTTATCTATTTCTGACAGGCTTCAGTGGAGTCTATGTCCCGCTACCTGAGCCCGGTCAATCCGGCCGTGTTCCCGCATCTCACATTGACTCTCCTGTCCATTGGAATCTTCTTCACAGCGTGGTTTTTTGTGTATCCTTAATAATGCCATGGATTTTTGCAGTAAAATTGCCAACCTCAACTTTTTTTGCCACAGTTAGCCAAAAATTTTAAATACGATGTTTTGAAAATTAAAAAAACCCAGTTAAACGAGTGAATTAAATATAAACAGACTTCAATTTAAGGAATCGCAAAGTAAACAAAGTAAGTGAAAAGACCGACAGACTAAAAGAAAAAAAGGTTACAAATTTAAATGATATTTCTAACTACAGACCTGGATAATTTGCTAAGAGTAGGCCTATAATCGTAAACACACAATGTTTTTCTGCCTAACCACCCATTTAATCCCTGGGCACTTGGTACATGCATTCCTTGACTGAAATAACAGATACGAGGTCACATCAACCAAGTACACCCGTGACTTCTACAAGGAGCTGCTTGTAGCTCTGGTAGCAAGTCTTTTCATGGGTTGCGGTGTCCTGTTTCTTCTACTGTGGGTGGGGATTTTCATCTGACCAGCGTTGTGTCTGCATGTGTGTCTGTTCCTGTCTGTCTAAAATGGTAAGCAAATATGTTTGGAGAATTAAAAAAAAATGAGAGAAAAAAGGAATTATGACATCTCAATCAAATGTTTTTAATTTAATTGCAACATCCAAAAAACGCCAACTTGTCATTGCTATGGTTTAAAAACAATGTTTTTTAGCCTAAGTGCGGAGTGGAGTACAGTGTGCTTAATTTTCTTCCGCGATATTAGCAAGGAGGTGCGTTGTGTACATTAAATTGAAATTTTAAAAGCAGACCATGGACACATGAACTTGAAATTAAGAAATAGTGTTTCAAACAAAAGGGTGTTCTCCATTTTGTTTCAAAATTCATATGGACTTGGGCAGAAAAAAGTTCCCTTGTTCCAATGTTGCAATATATATCGCAAATGAAAATCCTGCTTCAGTTTTCTTTGTTCAGTTTAAAAAAACTAATTTGAATTGATTTGGACAGTTGTTTTTGCATCCGTTTATTTTGCTCAGGCCCTGTAAATGAAAACCATTTCTGTGTGTACCTTTCTTTTGCAGATTTAAGTGTCACTTGTACCAACTCTTGTCCGGCGTTTCCATGATGCGCTCAACTAGCAGTAGGTGGCCAGTACTCAAGAACATACCGTTAATGACTGCCTTGCAGCGAGGATGTTTTTCAAGAGTCCAACAACCACATTGAAGTGCCCAGTGATCGATCAATTTTGTAATTTGATGAAATCTTTTTTGCATCGAGAGATGCAGTTTCTAAAGTGGGTTAAGGGTCTTTATCATTGTGGGGATTTGCTGAATCTTTGATTCTCTGTTTTACATATTTTTATTCTGCCACACATTGACCCACATTTGCATTTCACAAATCCAAAAAAGAACATACCTTTTGCCATTGAATAATGTACCAATATGTTTGTTTTTGAATTTGCTTTTTGTTCCGACATTTTGTTCAAATAAGGAAATTTATTCATATTAAAATTCCAAAAGATGTTTGGAGGTTTGCAGTAATAGACCCATCCAATAAGCCCCGCCCCTTTCACCTGCCCATCATTTAACCCCGCCCATGCATTTGGCAATGCCCACCATTAGGCCCTGCCCATCAATTAATCCCGCCCACATTTATCACCGCTGTGATTGGTCACAGCATTATTGGGTGTGGCTTAGCGAACCATTCTGTTGTGGCACAGAATAGAATTTCCAGTTCCTGTCCGAACAATTTATTGTAAATTATAAAAGGGTGGGCAAAATAATGAAAGTAATAAAGCTTACTAAATTTGATACAATGTGCCTGCGTTGTCTTCTTGATTCAGAGTCCATGTATAACTAGACCCGTTGGCAATTTGAAGGTATAATAAGCATAAAGTTTGCTATACGCACATTTCCAACAGGAGAAAATAACACTATTTCAAAGCGATTTCTCCACTCGTTCATGTTTTTATTTCACATAAATCACTTGCAGGACAATTCACACATTGGTAGCTACAAATCAAACGTTTTTGTGTATCAAAAAGAAAAAACAAAATCTAACCCCAAAATTATCAACCCCCCCCCCCTCCAAAAAAAAAAAAATAGTGCAAAGTTTTGCAAGGCATTATAATAAAGTTACACATGAAAAACATTTCTATGGTTCCAGTTTAAAGGACCTAATTATTTTCTCCTTGAACCGTTCACATGCACAGTTGATCCAACTTACCGAACCGCTTTATTGCCATTTCATGGCATTTTCTAATGGGCTTGGCTGGGACACCAGAATATTGTCTCATCCTAATAAACAGTCACCCTCAAGGTTTTAGTGCAGTCAAGTCCATCACAAATAAGGATTGTCCCAAATATACTGGATATTCCAATACTCGATCGTCAACAATATTAGAATAGCTTTTGCCAGTTTGAATACTGGACAAAAAAAACTATGCACGTGCGCACACGACTGTGGTGTCATTGTAATCATAATGTTGCATTTTTACTGTCGAATGATATTAGGTTTCGCCTTTCACTGACGTACAAACACTGTATATTTGGTGTGTTACCTCCCGAGTGAAAGTTGGGAAAAATCACTCGGGTGGGACTTGAACATACAGGATCCGTTGTCTGGTTTGATGGTCTATGGTTACTTTCTTGTCGACACCTATTTATTGGTCTCCTTCTTTCAGCTGGATAAAGCCCCTGGACAATTATACAAGACATAACTGCAAAACATATATATCGCCGCATGCAAATTTTAACCGGCGCGCATTGTATGGCACTTTTGACCAGCGAGGACAGCAGCTACTTTTGACCAGCTTGATCGACAAGTTTCGAATATTCAGTCAAGTGCAGTTTTGAATAATTCCTTTGTTATTGTTTATCTCCTATTACCTTTGACCGACTTGTGAACTGACTTGCGATTACTTACGCTTGGACTTGTGAGGGACTGGACTACAATACTGCAAGGTTTTAACCATCCACTCAGTATGTGAATAGTATGTGATTGGTCAAAAGTTTTACCCTTGAACTGTGAACAGGAAGAATTCCCTTCTGTGAACTGGCAATAACGCCAAAACTTTCCATAAGGAAATTTGAAGTTAAAAAAAAATGGTATAAATAACAGTTTCGCATTTGCACACAATACAGGGACACAATTTGTTTCCACATAAGCTTGAAGGACGTCAACTGACTGAAAATGTTGCTCATGATGACAATGTCTATATTCATCTTTTTCTGGAAAGACAAAACAAAATGAAAAGCTGGTTAGTATAGCGGCTGCAAAGTTAAGTCCAATATAGTAAAAACCGAGACTATGGTATCACTGGTGTTCAGTAGAGACATGCTGAATATTCAAATATTCGATAATCAGACGCATATCTGAATAGCATATTTTTCATTCAAATAATTAAAAAAAAATTAAGCGATTTCGAGGATGGATGAAAAATGTCCATGATGTTTGCTTGGTTTTATTGTTTGACAAACAACACACTTTTGTTGAAAGCCACTATTGCACATGATTTGTAAGCCCAACCATGAGGAATATTAAGTCAAATTTCTTTATTAAAATCTGTCAAATATCAGCCATTCTGCTACCTGTTCTTTATATTTTAATAAGCTTTGTCAATTTATGACAAGGACAGGCGCACGCAAATCTCTGATTTAGCAGCTTATTTAGGCTAGTGTATGTTCAACTTGATCAGCGCATTTTGAAATTGAATATTTGATCAGGTCCAAGCTGGAATTATCAAAAACCAAACTATTCCACAATGCACAGCCCTAGTGTTCAGCCATCTGATATGATAGATAGTAAGGGGACTTAACTCCCTGTGAAATTATTCTTTCTGGCAAGCTGTCATTTTGAAGTAATCAACGAAAGAAGGCCTTTCCAACGGTGCGTCTTAAGACGCACCGTAGGAAAATTTAAATTAGTAGTTCGTTTTGTTATTAAGCGAAGCGCGCGCAAGCGTTGGCACGACGCACACGCGCGTGCGGTTTGCTATAATTCGTCGGATCAGTGCGCAACATTGCGTATAGCTACAACTGGCTTAGTGAGAACGTGTCTCGGACACTGAATTCAGGCCCAATTCAAAATATGATTCAGCAACTTTTGATTTGAAATTGAGATCCTAGATTGCTGCTTTTCTCGGAATATACAGCTGAAGCTGAGCTGAAACTTCATCAGGTTAGTTGTTTAGTATCCTTCATTAGATTTTGAACAATTTTGTTGCTTCAAACGAACAAAATGCACAAATTACAAATGATGGACTCTGGCTTAAACCAACCTTGGTGCAGCCTTGATGATGTCATCTACACGTAGGATCATCTCAGCCGCCTCTGCAGCGCTGTGTAGGACCTGCTTCTTGAGTTGGTAGGATTCTATCACTCCCAGCTCGATCATGTCACCAACGGTACCCTCCTTCATGTCTGCAATGGGAACAACAAGGAACCAAAGTTTCCATTAAAACCTTCGAAACCAATAAATGCTATTCAATTTAATTCAATTCATTCATTTATTGTCACATATAAATATACAGTGAAATGCTCTGTGAGTTTGCGTGCCTAATACATTAAAAATACATACGAAAATACACACAAAAACATCACATGCACACAGTTACAATTACAATTATAAAGACGGTAAGAACAAACATAAATATACATAATAATTATATCATTAATTCTAAAACAGTATGGCCTATATACAATTGCAGCTACAATAAAATTGCCAGTTTCATTTTTACATGCCAGTGTATCCCTCCTTAAAATCGACCAAGGAAATGTGGATGGCACTAGGCTTAGGAGACAGGGCCAAAATTCCACTCTTTTTGAAAAACTGACTCGTAGTAGCCAATTCTAATATCCCTACAGTTTATTTCTTGCAGTGTCTGATAAAAACTAAACCAACACGCACCATCATGGTTTTGGATTTGGAGAAAAAAACCTGAAACTACGTCTTAGTATACAAAACATCAGAGAACAAGATGATGTGTTTCATTTGTGAAAACTTTTGACTCGTTCACGGACAAAATCTTTGGGTGTCGAATATCCTTAATCACCTTGTATAAAGCAATATACTATACGCAGTTCATTAGTGAAGTTTAATGAGATTTTTGTATATATTTTTTCCCTTCGAAACTGGGAGTAGATTCCAAAGAATTTTGACTTCTGGACATAATTAACCTATCTCGGTAGAATCGTGTCAACGCAGCTTGTGAAATATTGTCCTATTACACGATACACAAATGGACGCGGAACGCACAAAATCTGAGGCAACCAAAACTTCCAGTACAAAATTCCATAGGGTTGTCTAAGGGGCGTGGCTAACTCGGCAATAGGTCAATTAGAACTAATGCCAAAAATGTTGCCAGGATTTTGAAGGATTCTATGACTTTTTCCTCGTAATAACGAACATCCATGACTTTTCCATGAATTTCTAATATTGCGTTGAATTCCAGGATTGTTTGGGATTTTCCATGACTGTGGGAACCCTGTTCTAAGCTCTCATAAGTGGGCAACAAGACTCCTTCAAAGCCCATACCAGTCCATTGTAATTCTGCAAGTAACTTACTGAGTCCCACGGTGTTCTTGCCCTGGTTATGCAGGGCCCGTAGCTGTGCCACAAGCTGTGAGCTGTCGTACCCTCCGTTGTCAGCTATGATGGTCGGCAGCTGAAACATATGAACAAAGTATGGGAAGCTTTGAATTTGCACAGTAGTAAATGCAGCTATGAAATAGAACAAATGTTTATAAACGTATTTCGTAATTCACTACCTACCCTTATGGAGACATATGTACAATAGGGAACAAAAGATTGTATACGTCTCCACAGGGCAATTTCTAAAGGTGAATACGTCTCCACAAGGTTATCACGAAATAGATATATGGATTTTACTCAAAAACTAGGAATTTCCAAGGTGTGTTGATTTGTCGCAAATTGAAATAGTTTATGTAAGGGATATTAAGTCTGAGGTGTTTTTATTATTGAATTTGTTTGCATTCTTTGCTTTTGTTATTTTATGGGGATCCAAATAACGATCTAAAGGGCAGGGACAAGCTTAAAAATTAAAAAAAATTAAATTGATGAATTGCTGAATTTTCCTGTCAAACCTTGGCGAGGGCTCTGGCAAAAGCCTCGATGGCCACGGCCTCCTTTCCAGGGGTTTGTGCAGCTAGCTGCTGTACAGCATTGGCCATCAGCATTTCAGAGCAACCTGAGAACAAGTGTGATAAGGTAACGGTAAACTAGAACTCTAGGAAAACATGTCTGATTATTTCTGTTGCAATCTATTCAAATTGGGTCTAAATTATCAAAGGGTGAAATTTTCCATATTAGTCCGTACAAAAATTGATATGCTTGATGAAATCTTGCATTGAGTGACATGAGGTCCTTACCTCCTCCTAGTACCGTCTTGTAGGTCCTGGTAGTCTGTGACAGCACACACAGGGCATCGTGTAGCGAGCGCTCCACCTCATCCAAGATCTGCTGAGTGGCACCACGGAGGACCACGGTGCAAGCCTCACCTAGAGCTACCCCTGAGAAACGAATCAACTTGTCCTCTCCTGTCGGTGCCAAATCAAGAACGAGTCAAAAATGAAGAGTTGTTAAAAACTGGGGAACTCCTCTTAATACGTGTCTTGCAGTCTCGAGTAAACAGAGATTCCGATAAATATCCAGTGGTTGAAATATGATAGGGTGTACGTGTTCTACATAACCCCTGAGGACCGACACACAAAGGGAGAACAACAGATCCTTTCACTCCTCGGGAGTTGGGTCTTTTGTTGGAAACGGTCCTCTGTAGTAAGTTTGTGTGCTTAGTCTATGGGAGAGTGTCATATTACAGGGGCAAAGGGAAACACAAAGCATTGTCCTCGAGAGTATAGTAAAACAAGAAAGGGTGTGCTGGTATGCAAACCAGACTTTGTGTTGGGGGCATTTTTCACTTAAAACAAACTTTATCAAATAAAAGCCCATCCATAAAACTGCCCCTCCATATTATGGCAAGTTTCAAGGGGCATCTAGCCCCATGTAAAGTAATAGTTGCTTGGCTGTACCATCCCCAATCCTACAAAATCCATTAAAAACAACTCCTGGTACAGTTTGAAGGATTTTGGAAGGTTTGGGATTGAACCTACCAATCATGATCTCCTCAATGACATCACAGTGGCCCAGCTTGACCAGCTCCGGGTGGTCAAACGTGGAGACGATTTCCCCACCGGTGACCAGCGCTAGACGCTCGATACCATCAAAGTCTGCGTGCTCGATGGCCATGATGCCGTTGTCGGCAAACAGCTGTTCTGGGTAGTTGTAGATCAGCTGCCTGAAGGTGCAACATCAAATTTCAAAAAGAATACATTAGAAAGTGTATGACACCGATGAATCAGTAAGGGCTTGGCAGTTTTTATGTGCGTAGGGAATAACAGGCAGGCTCTTCGTATTATGATATTGCACGATAATGAGTTACCTGTTGATGAAGACGTTGATGTCGTGTTTGACAATCTTCTGCACTTTCTCCTTCATCTTTTCCTTCTCGGCCAGCTCCAGTTCAGCAACCTTGGCCATCCCGTCCACTCGTACTCTGGAACCAAACACCTACAAAAACAAACGATTATTAACGCTTAAACTGCCAGACACAATGGACACAGTGCTCAAGTCGCTGCTCAACGGATACAAAACAGAAACGTTGGGAAGGAACATTGGAACCACTCTTGAACGTATTGCAAACAGTGTCTGACGCTCATGCAATGACACCACATTCAGATTGAAATTAGTCATGCATACTTTGCCCCATACATACAAACCATTGCGCACACACAATGTGTCCCTCCCATTTGAGCTTTCATGAGTGGGGACGAAGCGCAATCTACTGTGCATGAACCGAGTCCACTTGGTTCAACAGGTGTAAAGGCTAGTTTCCATATCGATGTTAAGCTTATGCAGACTGCGCACACATGGGGTGGAACCGTCAAGGTTCAACGTCTGCAAAATACTTTGCGTCTGCATGGGTTGTCGGTGACATTTGCAGATGATATATTTCCAGATGTCTGCGTTCCAGTTTGGGTCTTGTTTGCGTAGCTCTCCGCGTTTCTTACTCGATATGGAAAATAGGCTTAAAGTCAATGGGACCTTACTGCATTGGGCTATCAACACAAGTTCATAAAACTGCCAAGTTACGAAACAATGGGAGCAAGTCTGATTCAACTCTACCACCGTTGGATCTTGTTGTGGGTGGCAGCGTCAGACTCTGAGGCTGTTTGGCCTTATATACAAGTGACCTGTTGAATCTTGTTACACTTGGCAGGCTTCTCAGTTTAACAACTGTTGTTGTGTTTGGCAGGGTTTCTACCCAAAGTACTCAAGCGACTAATAGTTTTATTACCCCCTCTCAAATCCATTAGGCCCCACCCCCCGTGGGCAACTACACATGCTCCAATGCCACACCGCATGTTCTAACCGCGCGCGTAATACGCACGTAGGACTTTTGCGCAAGCATGTCAGACAGAAATCACGGCTGTGATTGGCCAGAAAACCACGGGGTAGCGTTTAATGGATCAGTTTCTTGAAAGTAAACTAGACCTACGTAAACTTCACATTTTGGGAGAAAGTTAAACCACTGTAGCTTTGTAATGGAACTAACCTTAATTTTGTCAGTGTCCATGGTTGTGTTTGCGATCAGAATGCGTGCTTTGTCTATCCGCTTGGGCTGATTGATTCCAATCTTCTTGTCCAAGAGGAAGCCGGACTCTAGGTAGGAGTCACTCATGTTGCCTCCCAGCTTCTTGATGATCTGGATGGCCTGCAGATCTGTTTTGCCCTGGGAGGAAAAAAGAGTGAATGCTTTTGAGGGCTCGTTCAATGACAGCCATTTCTGTAGGAGAACTGCAACTGCGTATTTTATGCAATCAAACACGCATTGCGCAGTGTTGAAAATCTTCCAAACACACACGCTTGTTGCTCGAAATGTGTTCGAAATACGACGCAGCCGATGCACCTTATGCAAGTTTACGCTCAAAATACCGATGCACGTGGATGGTCTGTAGGAAATTACGTCATTTGAAGGAGACCTATTTGGCACCAATAAGGATGATCCACAAGCCAGTCCACACTGTTATTTCTCAAATCATGTCATAAGTCAGGGGTGTCATTGGTTCTTTCCTCGCCTTCCACTGCTTTGGCCTGGGTTCGATTCCTGCCGTGATCCGCATGTGGATTGGGTCTTCAGTCCCCACCTCATTCCGTGGGTTTTCCCCCGGAATAGTCCACTGGGGTTTACCTCCCACCTCTAAAACTGTAATTTCTCTATCACCTTCTCTCTACAGGTTTCTTCAGGCTTGTGAGCTACAGTGCCTTAGGGCGCTTTTGAAGAGTCCTTGGTTTCGTTACCAAAAAAAAGACAATAATCATGAAGTCTACACAACTGACTTGATTGGAGGTACAGAAATCTGCTAAGATCTCCTTCGCAGGTTTTGGTTACCAGCCAAAACGTCGCTGAATGTATCCAGCTCGCGACTGATTCTCGGCTTACTTCTACTTAGCACAAAACATTTGCTCAGCGATATTTGCTGCTGATTGGTCCAAGGCTTTCTTACCTTGAGTCTAAGCACGGCGTCGACGGCCAGGTTGGCGAACATCTCGCGGCCCTGCTGCACAATCTTGGAGCTGAGCGTGGTCATGGCAATGTTGAACAGATCCTTGCGAAACTTCTCAATGTCAGCACTGATAATGCAAAGAGAAAAAAAAAAAAATAATTTTTTCAAATGCAAAATGCTGCCAAATCTCTGCAAAGAAACTAGAGGCAGATGAGTCTGTTGTTGCATATAATTATAGGGAACATCCTTGTAACAGTTGCATCTTTGTCACAACATTATGAGGGTTTCTTTATCATATCTTGAATACTGTGTCTTCATTGGTTTGAACTGTAAGGCCAAAAAAAAAAAATATTCGGTCTCTACTCAGACCAAAGTTCCAGAATTGATGCAGCGATGCGGCTTTTTTTTTTTTTTTTGCTTTTTTTCCTTTTTCTTCAAGCTTAGATTGTACAGACAAGGTGGGGTACTATTTTGCTTTTTTGGTGTCCTCATGTACATTGGTGTCCTCCATAATTTGCCTTGGTGCTTTCGATCATTTGCCTTGGTGCAATTTCCCATTCCTTGGTGCTCTTTGGTAAAAAAAAATTGAGGAGGTGCGGCAATAGAGGGCGCTGTTGGAGCTACCGCGGAACATTTTGGAAAAAAAAAGAAGATCGACGCGCATGATTAAAATCGACGCGCGCGCTGACCAGAGACCGACTTATTTTTTTTTTGGCCTAACGTGTCAAGTTTGTAAACTGAATGTAAGACTTGGAGAAAACCACTGGGAGAGACATTTGAACGCAATGCTGATGACACCTGACGATATTGCTATGTGCACATTCAGAAAAAAATGAGTTGTTTGTTCCTCGCACCATATGCCTGCGAAACATCACGCGCACTTGGTATGTCCCGTCTACTGGCTTCTTCAAAGTGAAAAAAGCGCCCTCTCTTGTTCGTGAAGGGAGTCCATGGAAGTGAAATAAACAAAACAAAGGCCCTCTACAGAATAATGCCCATAAAGCTCAAAGGCTCAGTGGTAACGAAGTAAAAAGTTGTATCTGTAGTCTGGAGTGTCATGGCCTTGCGGTTAATAGCACCGCACCAGACCCGCGCTCTGGTGATTCAGAGACAGCAGAATGTGTAATGCAGTGTTATGCAACGTAAAAAAAACCCAGTGACATTAATCGCTAAGAAAAGGGGTTTGCTCTAGTGTATCTGGCCTCCTGTTGAAACTCCCATGAGGAGTATTTAGAAGAATAACCAACCAAGTACCAATCAATTACCAAGTCTGCAAACTGTAAATTCTTCCGATCACTATTGCGGCCTGCCCTAATGTGTACGCATACCTGTTATCCATGGCCGCTTGGGCCAATGCCTTGTCTGCAGCCTCTACAGCTTTCCTCCAGCCCGCTATGATGGTCTGTGGATGCAGCTTCTGCCCGACCAGTGTCTCTGCTTCCTACACATGAAAACAGGGCCATGAGAACGTTGGTTATTCTCTCTCTACCAACAAAATGTAAATAAGGTGGCATGCTACGACAATTTAAACCTAACGCCAGGGCTTGATGACTTACCCTCAGCAGTTCACAGGCCAGCACCGTGACTGACGTTGTACCGTCTCCAACTTCATCATCTTGCACTTTGCTGATTTCTGATAACAAAATAAATAAAACACATTGAACAACAGGCACGAGGACTCCAATATTAATTGCCTATAAGAAACTTGTTTTCTTTCTACATGTTTTTTAGTAAAATTTACAGCGTGCTTTCAATTTTTTTTCATCTAGATATTCAATTTCATGAAAGGTATTTAACCCTAACCTTGCCAGACACAACACAGTGCGAAGAGCCAGCTCTGAAACAATGAGAGCTAATCCCATTGAACACTGCCACAGTTGTATTCTACTCAGTGCTGCGTTCGGTGACCACAGACTCTGAGGCAGTTTGGCCTTGAGACTTTTGACCTGATGGATCTTGCTGCACTGGGCAGGCTTGTCATTGTGACAAGTGTTGCATGTTGCTGCGTTTGGCAGGATTTTTAGCCAAAATTCCCTGGAGGATTAGGCTTAAGCCAATGTCCCAGAAATTACATGAACCTTAATTCCCACGTAATTTTTGTCAATAACCTTTTAGATTCCTCTGAACTTATTTACCTTAAAGGAATGCACATCTTAAGTTATAATGGCTTAGATAAACTTTTGAACCCTCCAAAACCCTCCAGTGACATATATCTACTTCAACTTTAAAGAGCAATCAAACCCACCGAGGTTCTACCGCCCTAAATCCTGCAAAGTCCTCCAAACATTGCAATGATTTTTGAAGGCTCTGGAAAAGCTAGGGCTAAAAATGACAGACAAAATGAATTGTCTAATACTTTGCAATCTATTGTAGACAACTCACCTACGAGAATCTTGCATGCGGGGTTGTCAATGCCGATGGACTTCAGGATAGTTGCTCCATCATTGGTCACTATCAATGGGCTGTTCTTGTTAGGTGACTGCAGGATTTTATCCTACATTGAGCCAACAAAGATAATTACAGTGATTATGAGTATTTATTTATAACCTTTCAAGGGGGTTGGATAAACAAGTGTTGCCTTTCTTTTCACGGTCGATCCCTATATGTTTTGCATTCTCATTTTTGAAGCAGCTGTTCATTTTTAGTTTAGGAAATGATTGGCTCCTGGAATGTATTTCTTTCTATGATACAACAGCATTTTCACATTTTTGCCATCATGAGTTATGACATCAATTGACCCTGGATGACCTTTGACATTACATCGTCAAAACAACATATTAGCAACCTTCATTTTGTACTAACATCATCACAAATTCACAAGTCAGTCTCAAGTCAAGTCATGGGTAACTGAAAGGAAGAGCGACAAAGACTGTCCTGCGTTTTGTTCATTTCCTGTTACTTGTGATCTGACTTGTGGTCTGACTTGTGACTGACTAGTAATGGACCGATCTAGTAAGCACCGCCCCATGGTGTTCTGACCAATCACAGGCGTGATTTATGTCCGACGTGCGTGCACTCAAGTCCGACATGCGTGCACGCGCGTATGATGCGCGCGGAAGAAAAATGCAGCGTGGCATTGGAGAGGAGCACGTGTAATTTGCCCACGTGCGCACTGGGCGGAGCTTACTGGATCGGTCCATTGACAAGTGAATAACTTGTGACTACCTTGCTTGACTTATGATCGCCTTGAAAGTACTTCTACCATCGTTCGTGCCCTGTTATTTATGATATGATTGTCCTATGATTGACACAATTCCTCACCATTCCCTTGGGTCCCAGCGTGCTCTTGACGAGGTCACCGATGGCGATGGCTCCCACAAACGACGAGAGACGAGCCGTCTCCGCCTTCTCCTCCTCGGCATTCTGCTTCAAGATTTGAACTGGTGCCAACTAAAATACAAAAAACCCCATGCAAAACAGTTGTTTGCGAACTGACAAGAAACACTAGGCGTCTACCCCGCTAATAGAAGGTCGGGAACTAGTCAATCTTTGGGATTATCTAATTAGTACCTTCGCTGGATAAATTGGTCCAGTGCTCGGGCTCTCCCCACAGGTGAGAAAAAACATGGGAATTTTTTTGGGGGGGGGGGGCATTAGTTTCTTTAAGGACCCCTCCTATCACCACTGCATCCATGCGCAGTTGTCAACCAAATGGTTCTCGGACTTACATGTAATTTCCATATAAAAAAAATATCCTTCAAAGACATTGATCAGAGAGTATAATTAAATATGGCCTTCACCAGCTGATTAACATTACAATGTAGGTGACCCTGAGTGCAAAATAGGGACCCTGTAAATACTCATACTTGGCCAAAAGTAGCCCCATAAATGTGGCTATTGTAAGCCACACTGCGGTCAAGGTGCATGTCCAAAAGCCATAGCGTACTTAGCTGGAGTTACCCAGCCCTGAGTTTTATCATTGGGTTGTCTATTAGGGCTGGAGCGCATTTTTCTCAAAACTTGTAGTATTTGCCAAAAAAAATTGGAAAATGTTCAATTTTGTCCCCGTTACACATTAATTGCAACTGCAACTCACCCCAAACTTGCCTGGAATAACCATTACACAGGTCCTTGAAGTAAAAAACGATCCACGATGAAGATTCAGCCTACAATTGCAGTGAAAACAGGAGGAATAACCGCTAACTTGACAACCTTGCTGGATTGGCCAGGACCGCTATTGGTTTGTGCACAAAAAAAATTGTGTACAATGAATGGCGGTCGATTAACAGGCACAGAGAGCGATCGCTGTCAACTACTCATTTTGCCGGCTGCGCTGGCTGTTGGCGCGTGACGTCACGCGGAAGCGTAACACCCGATGACTGTTTCATGCACTAGTATAAGGTTTACCACTCGCATCACAGCTTTGGTACTGGAACCGCAACCAATAGTGCATGAAACAGTCATCGGGTGTTACGCTTCCGCGTGACGTCACGCGCCAACAGCCAGCGCAGCCGGCAAAAACGAGTAGTTGACAGCGATCGCTCTCTGTGCCTGTTAATCGACCGCCATTCATTGTACACAATTTTTTTTGTGCACAAACCAATAGTGGTCCTGGCCAATCCAGCAAGGTTGTCAAGTTAGCGGTTATTCCTCCTGTTTTCACTGCAATTGTAGGCTGAATCTTCATCGTGGATCGTTTTTTACTTCAAGGACCTGTGTAATGGTTATTCCCAGGCAAGTTTGGGGTGAGTTGCAGTTGCAATTAGTGTGTAACGGGGACAAAATTGAACATTTTCCAAATTTTTTTTGCAAATACTACAAGTTTTGAGAAAAATGCGCTCCAGCCCTAGATGACAACCCAATGATAAAACTCAGGGCTGGGTAACTCCAGCTATAGCGTACTGACCCCTGAAAAAGAAATACATGTATTTATGTTAGAACCTAATGTTAATCAGCTGGTTAAAGCCATATTTAATTATACTCTCTGATCAATGGCTTTGAAGGATATTTTTTTTATATGGAAATTACATGTAAGTCCGAGAACCACGAGCAGCCTTCTTATTCTAGAAGTAGCGATCACCGGGCAATGTACCGTGAACGCGCAAGGAGCGCTCAATCGCACGGTACGAAAATCGTAATTTCTACCCCAAAATTGTTCACAAATGACAATTATCCCATTAAGCATGTTAAGACATGTAAGAGAAGTCTGCTTCAAGTTTAAAAGGTCATATTTGAGTAATAATAAACACCCTATGCTAACGTTAATTTGATCAAAACTAAACAGGGGCCCTACACTACCATGACTACGAAAGTATCCTGACCATGGTAACATGACTAACGTAACGTTACATGATCGCCGAAAAATTCATGTCTTTTTATTAACATTATAACATTTTTACTGACCGGCTTTATTGAAATGATATATGAAGACAAAAGTGGTGTCAGGTTACAGCATTCTTTCCAATTTTCCCCATACATGCCAAGGTCATTGCTATTTGCTAGATCAACAAAAAGAAAGGAAATTCTACTTGTCCGGTTACTGGGCAAGTTAGGAGGCCTAATGCGCGAGATTCCTCGATTTGATTTTTACGAATCAAAGACGAAGTGATATTGAACGTATTTGTCTTTGTGATTAAACATACAGACATCCCTGTTCCTAAATTTAAATGGTAAAAAAATCAGAAGGAAACTTACCATCGTTCTAATAGCGTTAATTAATTTTCTTACAAAATTCGGGCGATTCTAGAACGTTCCTACGATCGCACATGCACTGCACGTGAAATTAAGTGCACGTCAGACGATACCGAATATGTCAATTATTATCGAGAATACATGTAGGTAGTATCGATACTTAAAAGAATAACCGAATTTGAAAATTGAGAAGTCAGTTTGGAAGAACTATACCAATACTGGCTATGGTGTTTTTTTTATGAAGCGTAGAATATGTTTTTCGTTTCAGGAATGCATAAAACAAATAAAGTTGATTCGGTTCTTATGGCGTACTATTTGCGAATTATTGAATTTCCGTTTGGTATCGATACTAGTGGCCCATCAAATTTGTCGGTGATGTCAACTAGCAGGAGGGCGCACTTCACAATTTATGGCAACAGACCATTCTTTGTTTCCAGGGGCGTAAATTCCGTGGGGGGGGGGGGGGGGGGGGGGCGGGATGGGGATGGGGATATACATGTGTATCCCCCTACTTGTTGACCTGGGGGATGGGCTATTTTATCATCCCCTACTTCTTTGTGATGAGAAACCAAAAAAGGCAGGTTTTAAGTATTTTTCGAACTTCTCAACAACCAAAATAGTAATGAAAAAGGAGACAAAACGGTACGCTTTAATGCGCCGTTTGGATTTACATGTACGTAACCTGCACATTTGTATCATTAACAACACCCCTAGTGTCATGTGGTGTCCAGCAAGCGTTATAACTTGTTTACATACATGATGGAACAGCGCCCCAAGAGTCAGGAAAGGTCCGCTGCAACGCCCCCCCCCCTTTTTATACAATCGTGATGCGCACAAGTTAGTCCTTCGCCTATTTTGAGTCAACTAACCCCATCTCTTGCGACTATTTTCCCCTGATATTTCTCACAGTTTCAACAATAGTCTTCAATCAACGGTGACTCTTTATCTTTATCATCTCCAAAATAAAAATAAAAATAATCGCTGTTTATGAAAAAGAGATTTCAAACATTCCATGTTAAAATATTTCTTAGAAACAACATCTGTCTCAATTAAAAACTTGAGTTGCACTCTTTACAAAGTAAGATTTTTTTTTTCAGCTTACCAGCCCACAATTTCGCCCCAAAAGAGAGAAATTTTTCACTATCTAGGATATACAATTATAAAGTGTGAGATCTTAACTCCTCACCTCCCCCCCCCAAAAAAAAAAAATTAGGACCGAGTTTAAGTTGCAACTCCTTTAACAGCCCGAAATGAATAGTCTGATTTTCTTGTTAATACGAATTAATTAGTTTGAAATTGAAAAGGCCATAATTATGTGCAACTAAACCAAAATATCCAACTGTATAATTTAAAGGTGTAATTAATTTTTTCACAAATAAGTTTATTTTAGTTCTCAGCACATTGATATTAAAAAGTATACAACAGTGTGCAGTGTGCTAATAATTATGTGCAGTTATATTCCATTCACATTAATACTTCGAATTTGATATTGTCAGTTGTGTGACAGAATGTAATATCCCCTGCCTATATTGAAATTGAAGTGTACTCATATTTTAAACAGCGTTTGACTGCGTGTTTTTAGTACACGTTTGCATGAGTACATGACGTTTTTAAAGTGACTTCCGCACTGAAACGACAGTATAAATGGAAGTTTGTCATTAATATAGGAACAAATGCGTGCACCGATTATAGTACACTGGGCGCGGTGGGGCCTGCGGCATTTGCTTTGGTTATTTTGAAATTGATATTCACGAATCACGAGTGTCTTGCACCACTCTTTGTTTTGGCCCAAAACAGTGATAATGTGTACAAAACTTACCCAACTTATGAGAAATGGTACCCCCCCCCCCCCCAAAAAGTTGCACTTTTGTATACGTGCAAGGTGAGTGTGAACCACAACTTGCACGTATACAAAAGTGCAACTGTTTTCGGTATCACTTGTCATAAATTGGATAAATTCGTACACATTATAACTGTTTTGGGCCAAATAAAGAGTATGGCAGAATTGCTAAGGAATTTCTGTACAGATGAGTCGTTATTTGAGCGAGAGGTGCTCAGTAGTTTTTGAGTTAGACAAAAAGTATTGGAAAGGGGACTTTCTTTTTTGGCAAGTTGAGTGTATAGCTTCTTGGCGCGGCACGGGCCAGGTAGCTATGGCGCGCTGCTACATCAAACGGCCTTGCATTCAAGGATATGTTGAATTGTGTAGTGCCCTGTTGATATGGCACTACAGTTCACATTGTAATTTGTAGTTGCTATGCCCCCCCCCCCCCCGGCATGATTGGGCAATGCTAACCCCTGTCCAAAATGAGACAAAGAATATCGATCCATCCAATAAAGTAAGCTCTTTTGATCCATGGACAACTATACACAACGCAGCCGGCAATGTAGCCCGACTGCGTCTGGCCGCACAGTACTATCGCAAGCTCTGTAGTACGGCCAGACGCCCGATGCTTCCACAGAGACTGAATTTTGTTGGCCGCCGATGTAGCGATTTTGCTACATCTTTCGATCGCAATTATCTTTTCATCCAGGACACAAATTTCCAAAGTTAAGGTTCGTAGTCGTAGAGCAACTCATACCTTTTCGAAAAAACGTTGTTTGGTCTCAATATTTTTATCCATCTGGCCACAAGACGAATTTCAGTCATCAGATTCCACAAATATCGTCCCCCATGCGATCCCCCATGCGATTTCAAAATGGCGGCCGCGCTGTAATGTATGCAATATGCAGGCGCGCCCGCGCAAACTCATGAATATGCATAAACAGTCTGTGACGTATGACCTCGTGTTTTTGGACGTACGGCCCCGCCACACGCACGTCCAAAAACACGAGGTCATACGTCACAGACTGTTTATGCATATTCATGAGTTTGCGCGGGCGCGCCTGCATATTGCATACATTACAGCGCGGCCGCCATTTTGAAATCGCATGGGGGATCGCATGGGGGACGATATGTGTGGAATCTGATGACTGAAATTCATCTTGTGGCCAGATGGATGAAAATATTGAGACCAAACAACGTTTTTTCGAAAAGGTATGAGTTGCTCTACGACTACGAACCTTAACTGTGGAAATTTGTGTCCTGGATGAAAAGATAATCGCGATCGAAAGATGTAGCAAAATCGCTACATCGGCTACCAACAAAATTCAGTCTCTGTGGAAGCATCGGGCGTCTGGCCGTACTACAGAGCTTGCGATAGTACTGTACGGCCAGACGCAGTCGGGCTACCGGCAATGGCCCACGTCCACACACGTGTCATCCACACCCACATGGGTGACTACAAATTCGTATCCTTGTGGAGACACACACACACAATAGGGAACAAAACAATGTAAAGGTCTCCACAGGGCAATTTCTTTAGATGAATAGGTCTCCACAAGGTTTTCACGAAATAGATATATGGGTTTTACTCAAAAACTAGGAATTTCCAAGGTGGGTTGATCCGTCGCAAATGGAAGAGTTTTAGAAAAGGGATATTAAGTCCAAATTTATGCCAAGGAAACTAATTCTGGTTAAAATAAGAGCATTTTGAAACTTCACTTTCAAAATTGAACACTTTACTACACGAGAACAAAGGAATGTCTCCACAAGGATACAAATTTGAGAAGGTGTGTGTGGACTGTGGGGGGACGTTGTGTTTACACAAGGCTGTTACAACTGATAATGTAGTAACCAACAACAGTAGTTACATTTTCCGTCGACACGTGATACATTATCGGATACAAATTTTACTACACTATCAGTCATTTTTTTCTACATTATCGGTTGGTGATACGTTATCCGTTGGGGGTTACTACATTATCAGTTGTAACAAAGGCTCAAGGCCAAAGATTAAGAGATAAGAGTACATGCATAGCAGTTTTAAGAGGAGCGTTTTTATTATGGAAGGAATTGACATGACCGTGCTATTACGCCACTGTGTACTGAAATATCATGTTTCTGCAGTGCACATAGAATATACATGTATGTTTATATAGTTGGATTGATTGATTGAGTTCACCATAGTTGGCGCCATTTCCCGCCGTTTTCTCCCTTCCTTCCCGCCTACGCGGTCACGTGTCTATAATCCTGTTATGTAACTCCATTCATTGTCATAGAAAATTAATGACGCGTGTGCTCTTGTTTTCGTCCACTATTCAGCAGCCTGAATCTTTTACACTGATCTAACGGTGCTTTTATCTGTGTTTTAGTATAGGTCTATATCTAGTGGTTTTGGTCTATATTTTGCTGTCTAACGTGCAAATAAATATGTCTTCCGCATCCGAGAAACAAAAGATAGCGAACTACCGCAAGGATGTCGACAAGCGGCTGGAGAAGTACCAGGCGCTGCGCGACTTGGACATCTTCGTGCTAGACAACTCGATGCGTGAGAGCACCGTGGGGCAGCTACGGGGCCACACCCTGGAGAGCAAGTGGCAGATCTACGATGAGGTCAAGAAGTGCGGCTTCAAGAACACCATCGTGGCCTCCTTCTCGCACATGACCCGCGTGGACGACGTCTTCATCAAGCAGCTGACGGAGCGGGGCGAGGACCGGCGGGGCCTATGGGCTTTCTCGGAGATTACCGAAGGTACACTGACTGTGCCGGGGAGTCCCAAAGCAAAGAAAAGCAAAACCACATCTTCTGATCTTGGTGAGACTTATCTTACTTCTGACGGTAACAAAACCAATAAGTTAATTGAGTAAAATACCTAGTAATTAGTATTCAGGGAATCACGTTGGCGTAGCGGTACTTTCCTCGCCTTCCACGGCTGTAACCCGGGTTCCAATCCCGCCTGGGCCAACCGTGTGGATTGGGTTTTCAGTCCCTACCTGATTCCGTGGGTTTTCCCCCATCTACTGGGGTTTTCCTCCAACCTCTTCAACTGTAAATTCTTCTCACTGTCTCCTCTCTTCAAGTTTCTACGGGCTTGCGAGCTACAGTGCCTATAGGGTGCTTTTTGAGGAATCCTTGGAAAAAAAAAATGACAAACAAAATAATGTACATGTATTTTCGATCAAAATTATATAAACGCACTGTACGGTTGCTTACGTGTACACGACTAAAAAAAAAGAACAAAGGATAGATTTTTTCGATATCCTCCAAATTGTATTCACGTAGTATAAGACACATACACAGTCACATACAA